ATATAGAGCTTATTCCAAGGTGAAGTCACTGAACGACCGAATGCCGAAAAGCAGAATCCAAGGCTTTACTACCAACGAAGTCAAAAGGACCAACAGCAATACTATGAAAGTAAAGACAGAGGAAATGGAAACAAAAGCCATGGCTTCCGTTCTTGTCCTAACTGAAGAGAGTGGTTCCCTCAAACTTGAACAGGTGTTACAGTATCATGTCACAGAAGAGAGTCTGTCGATCTTCACCACTAATGGCATGATTCGGAAGGTTACAAAAAGCAAGTTGCAAAAGAAAGTCTCGATGACACCCATACATGAACCCGATACATACACGTCGATCATTGACATTGGCTTAATTTGGAGCCTGGTTGTCCCAACCACTGAAGATCGAAAGAAGAGTGGTGGTGCCAAATGCACATTATGAGATAATTATAGAAAGAAGGTGGTGCGCACAGTTCTGACAAAGCATAAAAATGGAGAGCGGATTATTTGCGTGAATGACCCAAACGACCAGAGATGAACAATCAAAGACAGTAAACGCATGCGGCGTCAGAAGAGTGCATCAATCAGTAACATTTACATGAAGTCAGAAGATAAGTTTCCTGCAATCAAAGACCTTCTTATGGGAAAAGCAGAAATAAGATCCGTTTGCAGGCATTTCTGCAGGCTGGATTTCAGAGCACTGTAAACACATCTGCTGTCGAAATCTTCTACTGTATAGGCACCAGTGCGAAAAACCTCAGTAGAGAACAGTCCGTTCCCCTGTAGAGGCTGACACTGCAATGATTTTCATCTATAGTGTCCTCCGGTCTGAGGGCTATACAGAAGCTGTCATTCTTGATACAGAACACACCGATAACTACGTGCATGCAGCTTATGTTGCCCAGCAAATATCAGGAATATTACGTCTGAAGAGGAAGACACGATTCATCACCTCTCGAAGTTTATGCGATGGGGAAATGGCAGCCTGCATCATTCTAATTCATGTTCTCACAGGATGCGATCATAACTCTGGCGTCTATGGCACCAGCAAGAAACTGGTGGCAGATCTCGTCCAAAGTTCTAAGGAGGAACGTGACCTTTTTTCATCATGTGACACAGAGCTGCAAGTCCCAAAGAGGTACTCGATGACTTGGAGAAGTTTGTGATCCGATACATCTATTGTGACGCCAAGAACACTATTCTGGGAGAAGTAAAGGCAACAACGTGGAAGTCACAGAAGAAGAAGAAGAAGAACACCGTCCGACTGGCACCTGTTACAACCTTCACACCCTCTTCTAGGACTCACTTCTAGACTCTGACTCATCTAGAGGATGTTAAACACAGACCCTTATCTTATTTCTGGCTAACAACCTCTTGACAGCTGACAGGTGTTTATTTCAATACCACTGTTCCCATTAAAACTGGTTTAATCAAAACACAGCTTTAAAATTACAACAAAATATAATAAATATGTGCTCTCCATCCATGTGCATACAAAAGGCCACAAGTCAATTCACTTAGAATAATGTTATCGCCACCAAATGCAGTACTCTCTCAATACTACAATACTCTTTAGACTATATGAACATATTACACTTTAGTTAACACCAGAATTATCCATGATTGCCCAGATAATAATTGATAAATGTGCACCACATAAGCTTGACCCTCCTATCCTCCTCAACCTAGCTCCGAGAGTGCTGCCAAAACCAAAACAATGTTCCAATAAATTATTTTTTCATCAACATATCATTTTTTTTTATATACTCCACTCCTGCTTCTTACAGTCTTTCATAGCTGTATAAAGAATGAAAATACATTCTACAAAGCTTACATAATGAAACAAATACTAGTATACAAACTTATATAAAAGAATCAAGACATTATTTAAAGTCTTTACCATTAGCTTGGAATTTCGATTCTAAAGAAAATCGGGACACAATAGAAACTAAATACAATGGGTAACTGAAACAAATATTGAGGGAAATGAGAGATGACCGTAACATCCCCCTCCCAAAAGAGGAATGAGTCAGCAGCAGGATGACTCATGACTAACTGGAATGCGGGACAGTGCATCAGCCACGACATTCAACTTTCCTTTCACATGTTTAATAATCAAATCATAATCTTGGAACAATAGATTCCACTTTGTCAAACGTTGGTTTACATTTTTCATCTTGTGCAAAAATACAAGGGGATTGTGATCCGTAAACACTTGGATCGGTATGCCTGACCCCCTCAAATGAACATCAAAATGGTTCAAACTTAAAATCAATGCTAATGTTTCTTTCTCAATTTTACTAGAGGTTTTTTGATACAAAAGAAACTTCTTTGAAAAATAACAAATAGGATACTCAACATCATCTTTCTCTTGCATTAAGACTCCACCAGCTCCATAATCACTAGCATGTACATACAATTTAAATGGTTTATCATAATTTGGAGTAGAAAGTATGGGTGCACTAATAAGTATCTGTTTCAATTTATTAAAAGCTTCATCACAATGAACACTCCACACAAATTTGACTTTCTTTGACAACAGATTGGTTAATGGTAAAGCAATGGTTGAAAAGTTATTACAAAACCTACGATAATATCCACTCATACCCAGAAATTTATTAATTTTCTTCTATTTGTAGGTGCAAGAAGTTTCACAATACTTTCCACCTTAGCATTAATTGGTTTGACACTTCCCTGACCAACAACATAACCTAGATATTCTACAGTTGCTTCAGCAAATTCACTCTTCACAAGGCTTACAGTCATGTTTGCTTGATTCAATTTGTTAAATACTTCTCTGATTAAATACAAATGTTCTTCCCAAGTTTTTGAATACAGTATAATATCATCTATATACACAGAACAACCTTTAACATCATAAAATAATTGATTAACTAATCTTTGGAAAGTACTACCGCTGTTTTTCATACACAAAGGGTAACACTTTATACTGATATAAGCCATCCATAGTCACAAATGCAGACATTTCTTTCGCTCTTTCAGTCAGTGGTACTTCCCAATATCCTTTCAACAAATCCATCTTAGTTACAAATTTAGCATCTCCTATCTGGTCAACACAATCATCCACTCTTGGAATACGATATGAGTCAGCTTTGGTTACATTATTTACTTTTCTGTAATCAGTACAAAATCTATATGAAATACCATCAGGCTTAGTCACCAATACGCAGGGTGAACTCCAAGGACTGTTACTTCTTTCAATCATATCATTATCAAGACTATACTGTACTTCTTTTCTCATTTTCTCTCTCATCTTAGGAATCACTCTACATGGGTGTTGCTTAATGCGTGTTGTATTTCCAACCTGAACATCATGCTGTAATACCTCAGTTCTGCTAGGAACATCAGAAAACAAAGACCTAAACTTATGTACAATTTGTATGATTTGATTTCTCTTCTCAGTTCCTAAATGATCAAGTTTCTTTTCTAAATTATTCAACACACCTGAATTATTTAACAGTTTATTTTCACATCTCCCCAACTTCATATCTTCACTTTCATCTATCATCTTTTCATCACAGACCTGACACATAGACAATTCACCTTGTTCTTCACTTCATTTTCTGTAGAATTTCTATCATAATGTGGTTTTATCATGTTTACATGACACAATTGGTTTGACTTGCGTCTTCCTGGAGTATTTACAATGTAGTTAGATATTCCCACTTTTTTTCCAATCACCCAGGGACCACAAAATCTGGCTTTCAGTGGACTTCCTGCTTGTGGCAATAAATACCAACACTTGGTCACCAGGTTTGAACTCTCTGCTCCTAGACTTCTTGTCATACCACCTTTTCATATCTTCCTGACTCTCTTTTAAATTTTCTGCAGCAATCTCTCTCGCCCTAAACAATCTGTTTTTGAAACCTGACACATACTTCAATAACCCATGAGAATCACTTTTCCCAATCCACTTCTCCTTCAGCATACTTAATGGACCTCTCACTCCATGTCCATATACCAACTCAAATGGGCTAAAACCTGTAGACTCCTGTGCAGCATCTCTAATGGCAAACAACGCTAAAGACACACCTTCATCCCAATCTACAGACAATTCCTCACAATAGATTCTTAAAGTATTTTTTTAAGTTTGATGGAATCTCTCCACAACTCCTTGGCTTTGCGGGTCATAAGCACTTGACAAATTTGGCGTTATGTCTAATCCCTTTAATATTGATTTAAATATTCCTGAAGTGAAATTACTTCCCTGGTCTGACTGAATAATTTCAGCCGGGCCTACCTTGGAGAAATATCTCACTAGCTCTCTTACAATATTTTTAGAATGTATGCTACGTAATGGTACAGCTTCTGGAAATCTGTAGACAGAAACAATATTGTCAACAGGTAATTATTTCCGTTCCGTGTTTTAGGCAAAGGACCTACACAATCAATTACAATTTTGCTAGAAGGCTTACAAAATGCAAAAATTTGCTTCAGTGGTGCCGGTTGTATAATCTGGTTGGGTTTGCCCACTTTCTGACCCATCTCACAAGTTTTACAGTACTCAGATGCATTTTCTTTATATTAGGCCAATAAAAATGAGTTAGTAGCCTGTCAGTTGTCTTCCTGACTCCCAAATGTCCAGACAAACAAGAATCATGGGATAAAGCAATAACATGTTCCCTATATTCTTTTGGAATAACAATCTGCTTCCTATCCTCCCAATGATCAGATGCTGAAACATAAGCAGGCCTCCACTTTGTATACAAAATCCAATTGATACATCACTCTCACACTCATTTCTCTTATCTTCACTCCAACATTCCCTCAAACTCTCGTCACTCTTCTGTAACCTTACTAATTCCCCCTTGTCCACAACAAAATCTGGTAGTACATCAATTTTTGCTTCTACAGTACACTCCTTATTATTTCCCAACTCTACTGTATTATCTCTGGTCACAACATCTTCTTTACCAAATATATTATCTATTCCCAAATCGTTATCAAACTCTACTCTTCTCTTTGACATTGCCCTGGTCACAACATAAGCTGGGTACACAATTTCATTATACTGTACATTTCTTTGAATCATCCAACACATCTTCATTTTTCACAACATGGTTCACCTCTACAGTAGCCTCTTCATCAAATGGATTTTCACACATAATAGGCTCTGGGACCACAGTGTCGCCAGCCAAATCATTACCCAATAACATCTGTACTCCAGGTACGGGAAGTTCAACACTTACCCCAACTTTTACAATGCCACTCACAAATCCACTCTCAAGATTTACATTATGTAATGGGACAGTCATCCCTGACCCAAATCCTCTTAACTTTACTTCTTCACCAGAGTAAGACTCATCTGTCAACTCTAAAACATTTTTCAAAATCAAACTCTGATTTGCTCCAGAATCTCTAAATATTATAATTTTCTTCTCGGGACTACATTTAATCCCAACCTTCCCTTCAGTAATAAATGGCTCAAAATTCACAGATTTTGGGTTACTCACACAGTAATCGTTACCTCTTACATTACAAATATTCCGCGGTCTTTCCGCAACAGTTAATGCCGCAGACTTTGGACCACTCTGACACAGATATTTAGCATGGCCAATTTCTCCACATGCAAAACATTTTATTGTGTTCTCTCCTGTTGGACTGAGGTCTTGGATGTTTATATTGTGTTTGTCCTTGTGATCTATACCTACAGTATTTTGTGACACCTGGTTAGGTGGACCTCGCTTAGAATAATTTGGACTAGGTTGCTTAACATTTGAATAGTTCAGATACTTATGATTTTTGTCATAATTCTGGCTTCTATTAAGCCTTACTCCACCTTGTTTATGTGACACCTCCTCCTTATACATTTTGTGTACCACTGCTAACTGGTCAGCCAACCTAGCAGCATCCATCAAATTCTTCACTCTATTCTTACTTATTTCATACTTAATCTCAGGGTGCACAAGATTTTTAAAATGTTCCAACAGGACTAACTGTCTTATGTCATCCACAGTCTTTACTTCCTCAGACTTACACCATCTATCAAATCTCATTCTACATTCTCTAGCCACTTCAAGATGAGTTTGTCCACACATTTTCCTAATGTCCCTAAACCTTCTCCTGTACACTCCTGGATCCATTTCCACCGTCTTCAACACTGCTTCTTTAACAGTCTCATAATCCACAGATTCTGACATACTCAGATACGCATACTCCACTCTGGCCTTACCCTTAAATTTACTCAGCACCAATATTGCCCAGTCACTCCTTTGTCCCATTCTTTAATAGTTGCAACTTTTTCAAACTGAATGAAGAAGTCTTCAGTTTCTTCTTCCACAAATTCAGGTAAATGACATACTCTATTATCTTTATCTCCATTTCCTCTCCTTATACCTGTCCTCTCCTGTACTTCTAATTTCCTGAGTTCTACCTCTTTATCTGCCTGTATCTTCTCCTTTTCTGCCTGTAATTACATTTTCTTAAATTCAAATTCTAATTTTAACCTTTCCATTGCCACTTGTTCAATTATCTGTTTATGACCACCACTAAAATTACTAACACCTTCAACTTCCTCCAATATTGACAAAGACAAAATTCATCAATTAAATATCTCTCTGCATATCACTTTTGATATATGACCTCAGAGAAATTTCATACCTAGATGCCACCTCAATTAGTTCCTCCTTATTACTCTGATACAAAAAGTGAACATGATTGGTTTCCTGAAATTTATCAACATTTCCTGCCATGTTTGCATTCTTTCACAGTAATCACCTAACCTCACAATTTTTATACAAGTATTAACACTTACTTGTTGACAGAAATCTTCACCAGCATACCACAGAAGAGCACAGTAACTAACCTTCACTCACTTCGGTACAGCTTGGTTACACTGGGACAATCAGTATACTTGACTCAATCCACTCCCGGACATAGGCTTCCATGTTACAACCTTCACCCCCTCTTCTAGGACTCACAAGAGGATGTATAGTCAGCCCACAGGCCCAATATATCAAAGGAGACTCTGAAATAACAGCTTCTATTAACAGAGATGTTAAATGTTAAACACAGACCCTTACCTTATATCTGGCTAACAACCTCCTGACAGCTGGCAGGTGTTTATTTCAATACCACTGTTCCCATTAAAACTGGTTTAATCAAAATACAGCTTTAAAATTACAACAAAATATAATAAATATGTGCTCTCCATCCATGTGCATACAAAAGGCCACAAGTCAATTCACTTAGAATAATGTTATCTCCACTACTACAATACTCTTTAGAGTTTAGACTATACAAGTGATCGTGGACCCTTCATGCCCGGTGGCGAGTTCAGTGGTACAGTTTTCCGAGGCGTGAAAGTTCGAACGCTCGTGCTTGGCTAGCGCGCAACCACAGTCCCGCTGACAGCGTACAGCCACATCGTTTTCCAGATGGTCGTGGTTGTTATAATCATGGTCTTGGTTGTTATAATCATAGTCGTGGTATTTATAATCATGGGCGTGGTTGTTATAATCAAGGTCGTGGTTGTTATAATCATAGTCGTGATCTTGATCATAGTCTTGGTTGTTATAATCATAGTCGTGGTTGTTATAATCGTATTCGTGGTTGTTATAATCATGGTCGTGGTTATTATAAACATGGTCGTGGTTGTTATAATCATGTTTGTGGTTGTTATAATCATAGTCGTGGTTGTTATAATCATGGTCGTGGTTGTTATAATCATGCTCGTGGTTGCTATAATCATGGTCGCGGTTGTTATAATCATGGTCGTGGTTGTTGTAATCATGGTCGTGGTTGTTACAATCATCGTCGTGGTTGTTATAATTATGGTCGTGGTTGTTATAATCATGGTCGTGGTTGTTATATTCATGGTCGTGCTTGTTATATTCGTGGTCGTGCTTGTTATAATCATAGTCGTGGTTGCTATAATCATGGTCGTGGTTGTTATATTCATAGTCGTGGTTGCTATAATCATGGTCGTGGTTGTTATAATCATGGTCGTGGTTGTTATAATCATAGTAGTGGTAGTTATAATCATAGTAGTGGTTGTTATAATCATAGTCGTGGTTGTTATAATCATGGTCTTGGTTGTTATAATCATGGTCGTGGTTGTTATAATCATGATCGTGGTTGTTATAATCATAGTCGTGGTTGTTATAATCATAGTCGTGGTTGTTATAATCATAGTCGTGATTGTTATAATCATAGTCGTGGTTGTTATAATCATGGTCGTGGCTGTTATATTCATGGTGGTGCTTGTTATAATCACAGCCGTGGTTGTTATAATCTTGGTTTTGGTTGTTATAATCATAGTTATTGTTATAATCATGGTCGTGGTTGTTATAATCATGGTCGTGGTTGTTATAATCATGGTCGTGGTTGTTATAATCATGGTCGTGGTTGCAATAATCATGGTCGTGGTTGTTATAATCATGGTCGTGGTTGTTATAATCATAGTCCTGGTTGTTATAATCATGGTCGTGGTTGTTATAATCATGGTCGTGATACTTACAGTATCTAATATTCTATAAGAAGGAATAGAATAAATGTTAGAATAATTAGTTAAAGAAATATTCGCCATAAGGAGAGGTTAAAATCATAAAAAAAAACAATATTATGAATCACCGATGATCATTCCGAGATAAATTATATTATGAAGAGAAGTGACCTTGATTCTGGTTAGATTATAATCTAACCAGAATCAAGGTCACTTATTATTATCACTTATTATCTGCTTAAGTCATCACCTGTGTTAAGTCACCATCTACGTTAGTCAGTTTTAGGCCCATCTCACATGACTGACAGACCATCGATGTTCTTTCCGCACAAGGGTGTTAGTTTTCAATGCGTCTTATTATTTACGCTTGTGGATGTAAGATCTCGTACCCCAGTGGTATCAACCTTTTTCACTCCATTCCCCCCTTGAGGAATTTTCAACATCCTCGTGGCCTCCTTCATTTTTCTCCCAGAACAGACAAACAGACAAGTGATAAAGACTACAGAATGATAAAGAAGGATAGATAAATAGGACAAGAGTTAGAATGGCACACACACACACACACACACACATTCACATACATAACACGCCCATGCACTCACACATAAAGCACACATACAGTCATACACAAACATGCACAGAGGTAAACATTCATACTCAAGCTAGCAAGCTGAAGTGTACTTCCTGTAAGCAAGAACACGCTTCCTTTGAAAAGCACTGCCCAACTTGGAAGAATGAGAAGACTAGTGAGTTATACCAATTTAGCACTAAAAATGGTAGGATTATTCAAGTAAAGAATGAGTATGAACATCAATGGCACCAATAGATAAGGAAATAATTAATAAAGGAAGTGTAAAAATATTTCACCCACGTAAAGGAGCGACCACATGAATTATGAAACAAAATAAGTAACACCAATTACGGAGTATATTATGCTTGAGTCAAGCTCAAACACCATATATGGTTCAGAGACAATACACTCCACTGTTTTCGTGATGGTACCCCAGGCCAGACTGAGATCATTCTGTTCTATCACCACTTGCAAATGGATGACACACGGAAACGTACTGAACAATTCAGTTCAGCAGCTCGGTCCAGCGCCTGTCACAGACAAGGACTGGACCTGTGAAATCTTAAATAATCCGTAAAAAATAAAAATATAAATGGCACCAGAGTATGTAAATATTAAAATTGTATTGTCGTTATGATTAAACAAAATGACAAAAAAAAATGAAAATTCTCTTTTGCCAAGTCAAAATAAGTAATACAAGTTTTGTTTAATTCAGATTCCCAACATTATTTGAAAACGTACAATTTATAACAGCTCGCAGTGGCTCGGCTAAATTCTTGCCGTGTCTCCCTTGGGGGCCATGGCCCCCAGGTTGAGAACCACTGATACCCTCACTGACGCAGCTATGGTCAATTTGGTGTTATTCTTGTTTATAAATGCCTTATAATCTGTCTCAAGTCTATCAGTCCTGTCTATTGCCATCCCAACTGTCTGTTCGTCTGCGTGGTATTTGAATATAAGCCCGTCTGTACTCTTTGTGTCGTCAAATCTGTTTGTCTTATCAGTTGTTGGCGTGTGTCTGCCTGTTTGTCTAATGTGAACCAGTCAGTCAGCTGTCTGTCCCTCATGTTAGTTGCCATATTGTCTATTTGTGCATGTATGAATCTGTCTATTTTTGTCAACCCCCTGTCTGTTTCACTGTCTATATTCACCCTGTGTCTATTGTAGTCATCTTCTCCATGCATTCCTGTTATTATCTTTTTATCTCTTCTCCTTTTCCATGAGCCACAGGAATAAGTATACACTGTAGCTGTAAGGTCGTCTGGTAACGTTGAAGCTTCGCATCCACACGCATGATGAAACTCAGCTCCCCCCACCTGTTATCTCTAACTTTTTATCTGTTTCCCTTCTTTATTCTTCTATTCATTCATCTTCCTTCCTTTACTAATCCAAACAATATTAAAAAAAAGTAGGCTAAGAAAAAAAGTGGGGGGAGGAGGAAGGAGCCGTACGATAACTGCAATAACTGCAATCGTGGGCAGACAGCTTACAGGGAATGAGGGTGCGCCAAGTCAGTAGACTTGCATCGTTTACCAGCGTAAATAAAATGGTTATAAGAACATAAGAAGATAAGAATGGAGGAAACTGCAGCGGGCCTATTGGCCCATACTGGGCAGTCCCGTTTACACCCAACATCTATTGCTCATATAAGCATCCAACCTATGTTTGAAGCTATTCAGCGTATTCAAGTTAATGATGATATTTGGTAACTTGTTCCATTCATCCACTACTCTGTTTCCAAACCAGTGTTTACCTATTTCGCGCCTAACTCTAAATTTGTCTAATTTAAAACCATTGTTACGAGTTTGCTCCTGCTTGGATAGTTTGAGTACCTTTGTAGTGTCACCTTTGTTTAGCCGTGACTTCCATTTATACATCTCTATCAGGTCGCCCCTCACTCTACGTCTCTCGAGGGAGTGCAAATTAAGATGCTTTAACCTGTCTCTATACTCAAGGTTCCTAATGCCCGGGATTAGTCTTGTCATTCTCCTCTGAATTCTTTCCAAGGATTCTATATCCATTCTGTAATACGGTGACCAGAACTGAACTGCGTAATCCAGGTGTGGTCTCACAAGCTCAAGATACAGTTTTAGGATGACCTCTCTAGTCTTGTAACTAATACTCCTTTGTATGAACCCAAGTACTTATTAGCCTTGTTACAAGCTAAAACACATTGTTTACTTGGCTTAAGGTTCCTACTTATCATTACTCCTAAATCTCTCTCGCAGTCGAATTTCTCTATGGCATCGTTGATCATCTGGTATCTGGTTTTCCTGTTTACATCTCCTATACTGAGTACTTTACATTTGTCCACGGTGAATTTCATCTGCCATTTTTCAGACCATTCGAAATTTTTTTTTAGATCTTCCTTTAGTTTTGCCGAGTCCTCGTCAGATTTAATAACACGTCCTATTTTAGAGTCGTCCGCAAATTTCCTTATGTTGCTGTCTATGCCGATATCTATGTCGTTTATGTATATAATAAATAATAATGGTCCAAGTACTAAGCCTTGGGGAACTCCACTAGTGACGTTGCTCCAATGGGACTTCGTGCCCTTAATGCTCACTCGCTGTTTCCTGTCCTGTAACCACGCCCTAATCCATTTAAGGATATTTCCTTTGATGCCATGTGCTTCTACCTTTTTAATTAGTCTTTCGTGGGGGACTCTGTCGTAGGCTTTGCTTAAGTCGAGATATACCACATCATAATTGTGCCCCTCGTCCACCCATTCGAAAACTGATGAAAAGAATGTTAATAGATTAGTTAGACGTGAACGTCCGCTTGTGAAGCCATGCTGGGAATCATTGATCAATCTGTGCTTCTCCAGGTGATTTCGAATAGAGTTTGAAATGATTGCTTCCAAATTTGCCTTCTATTGATGTTAGACTGATTGGGCGGTAGTTAGAGGATAGTGATCTATCCCCCTTCTTGAAAATCGGTATTACACTCGCTATCCTCCAGGATTCTGGTACTACACATGTTCTTAAGGACATGTTAAACAATTTTGCTAAGGGCATACTAAGCTCTTCCTTACATTCCTGTAATACTCTGGCAAATATCTCATCGGGACCAGGTGACTTATTAGGCTTTAGTTTCTCTATTTCCTTACCAACATCGTTACTAGTCACTACTATCTCGCTTAATTTGTATTCTCACTATCTCTGAATAGAGTCGGTGCCTCGGGTATCATGTTTAAATTTTCGGTGGTGAAAACTGTTGAAAAATATTTATTCAGATTATTGCTCATTTCTACGCCGTTACCAGTGAGCTCGCCGGTATTTGACCGTATTGGTCCAATCTTTTCTCATGTTTTAGTTTGATACATTTGGTAGAATCTTTTGGGGTTTGTCTTCGCCTCCCTTGCTCTCCTGACCTCATTATTCCTCTTGGCTTTCCTTATCTCGGTTTTAACCCTACTCGCCAATACCTTATAATAATCTCGGAGGTAAATTTCGCCACGACTTATCCTTCTACCTATAGCCTTCCTTTGGCCAATGATGTTCTTAAAATAATTATTTATCCATTTACGGTCATTGTTGTCTAATCTGAGTTTTTGTATGGTATGTTCTGCCTTTGTGCATTAAGTAACTCAATATTTAAATTGTCGTGGAACTCGGCAGTCTCAGATCTCATTATCAGGTCAGTCTCAACCGTCAGGTCTCCTGGTACGGTGAGGTCGCCCTCTGTGGGTGCATTGAGTGAGGTCACCTCATGTGAGGTCATGTAGCTCACCCCCAAGCACGACACCCCCCTCCCTCACCTACCTCTTTAAACTGTCAAAGTTTGCCCTTCTGAAATCTGGTACTTTAGTGGAATTTTCCTTACGTCTGCCCTGAAAATCTAACTGGAATCTAATTTCTTTGTGATCGCTGTTTGTAAGCTCGTTCCCTACCTCGACATTGCTAATGAGTTTATATTTTGACTTAGGAAACAGTCCTGGATCGTTTCGAGAAAATCCTCTGATTCTGAGTTACCCGTAAGGTCAGTCCAATCTATTTGGCCAAGGTTAAAGTCGCCTACTATACAGACTTTGTTGTGTATGGAAGCACTTCGCTTTTCATCCCAGATAAGTCTCTCATTAGCTCTATCAAGATTGGGAGGTCTATATATTACTCCTGTGATTAATTTTTCCCTACAGCCGATTAATTCTATCCAAATTGTTTCTATATTCCGCTCAGTTTTTCCTAAAGAAACCATCGATATGGGACCAGGTTTGTTCCACTCTACGAATTTTTTGCGACTTTTACACCAAGTTTGATGAAAAACGATTGTGCCATTTCGGCTGCCCAGAACACACACACATACACGGCTATTCCTATAGTATATTAGATTACACTTTAGTTAACACGATAATTATCCACCCAGATAATAATAGATAAATGTGCACCACACAAGCTTGACCCTCCTATCCTCCTCAACCTAGCTACCGAGAGTGCCGCCAAAACTAAAACAATGTTCCAATACTTTCTTGTTTCATCAACATATAATTTCTAATTCTTTTTATGCTTCACACCTGCTTCTTACAGTCTTTCATAACTGTATAAAGAATAAAAATACATTCTACAAAGTTTACATAATGAAACAAATACTAGTATACATTTCTTATATAAAATAATCAAGACATTTTTCAAATTCTTTACCATAAGCTTGGAATTTCGATTCTAAGGTAAAACGGGAAACAACAGAAACTAAATACAATGGGTAACTGAAACAAAAATTGAGGGAAAGGGGAGATGACCGTAACACACCTAACTCAGACAGTCTTTAATGTAGGATGAAGTATTCCTTGTTTGCCCATTAAACAAGCTTTAATCAAGTCCTTTCGCAAGTAACATAAGAAAACTATTATAATACAAATATAACATAAAACAGAACATATATAAAATGCTCCTAACAGTGAAAACTATATAATTCTTCCCGCCTGGAAAAATTATGATCCATAGTTTTCAGGCGGCTTTGATACTCGAGTAGATCTTCTCAAAGCTGGCGTTGTTTGAACCGAACGTAGGCTCTGTTCCACTAATTCAGCGTTAGTAGTCACTGGGTCAATTATCTCTGTATAGACAACATTATCATGTACGGCAAGCAGCGTCTTCGCCAACAACAGTTTCTTTTTCATCGATGTGTGACACAGGCCCGATGGGGCATGGAGCCAAGTCACGAAGAGATACAGTTGATTCACGGCCATCAGGAAGCCGTACATGGGCGTAATTTGGGTTAACATCGGTTAGTTCAACTTAATCACTTTTGCTAGACCTGGCTATTCTTCGAAGCAGTACTGGGCCAGGGGTTGTTAGCCATGAAGGTAGAGAATTGCCATGGGACGAACGTCGCTGGAATCCCCCAAAAAAATCGTTCATGGTGTGTAGTATTTGTAGATGTTGACAGAAGAGATCTGATAGAGAGCAATGCTTCAGGTAGTACAGCCTCCTAGTTCTGGTCCGGCAGGTCGTGTGACTTCAGGGCAAGACGAACAGCCTTCCAAATGATAGCATTGTACCTTTCAACCTGTCCGTTTCCCATGGGATGGTAAGATGTCGTTTTGGTTGTTGCTATCCCCTTGAGGGAAAGATTATCTTTGAGTTCACGCGACATAAAAGATGAACCTCGATCTGAGCGAATGAAACTTGCCATACCACAAAGGGCAAATACTTGGTCAAGACATTTGATTACAGTTGAAGAGTGCATATTTGGACAAGGAAATGCAAATGGGAAACATGAATACTCCTCAACCACTAGGAGTATATATGTGTTCCGTGTCGAGGAAGGGAGTTGTTCCAAGGGTTGTGTAGCCTTTATAAGAGTGTCATTCGGTGGAGGAATGAATTGTGGCTCTAACTCTGCACAGATCTTACAACTTGAGCATGTTCTTTTTACATCTTCAGTAGAAAAGCGAAGATTTCTTGATCTTACAAACTGTAGCAAACGAGTAACCCCGGGATGACAAAGTTCCTTTATGAATATCAGCAAGAGTTGATGTTGATGTAGTACAGTAGAACAGCAGAAGGCACATGTGAGGGTATCAGGGGCCACATTATCCTTGCCTGGTCGGTATTGTATAATGTAACTGAATGATGCCAATTCTATTCTCCATTCTTGTATTTTGTTATTCTTGATTTTTGTGCGCTTCCTGTTATCAAGCATAAAGGCAACTGAACGCTGGTCGGTAATCAGAGTAATATGATGTCGAGCTAGAAAGTGACTCCATTTACGCATTGCTTCTATGATAGCTGTGGCCTCCTTTTCAACAGGGGGATAGTGCAATTCACTACCTTTTAGGGTCGTGGACATAAAGGCTACAGGTCGGCCTCCTGGGTTCAGTACAGCAGAGATAGCTACTTCTGAGTCACCACATTCAACCACAAATCGGAGGCTTTCATCTGTGGATTGAAGTGTAGTATTTCCCATTTATTTCTTGATGAGGTTGAAGGCTCATATGGCTGATTCTTCGAATGGAAAAGACTTCGCATTTATCAGCGGTTGTATTTTATCAGAGAAATAAGGTATCCATTTTGTATAGTAAGCAAACATTCCAAGGGCTCTACGAAGGGAACCTAGATTTGTTGGTGGAGGGAGTTCTTAAAGAGGACGAAGTCTCTCTGAATCAGGTTTGATGGTGCCCTTCCCAACCCAGTATCCAAGGATATTGATTGTTTTCACAGGTCTTATGGATTTGGATTCATTTAAAGTTAAATTTCGACAGTTCACAACGTCAAAGAACTTTTGGAGAATATCTTCATGCTCTTTTTGGCCATGGCCTGCGATGGTTATATTATCAAGATAGGGAAAGGTGTCTTTCAAGTTTTCTTCAGCAACTAATTTGTCCATTTCTCGTTGGAATGCAGCAACACCGTTCTTACTCCAAACAGGAGCCGACAAAACTGGTGCAGTCTTCCATTTGCCTCAAACGCAGTATACACCCTGCCAGATTCCTCCAATGGTACTTGGTGAGAGGCACATTTCAGATTAAAGGTAGAAATCACCTTATAATTAGCAAGATCAATTGCAATAGCATCGGTGTGAGGTAATGGATAAGCATCTAGCTCAGTGTACTAATTAATGGTTTGATAAAAGTCAATGCATAGTCTCTTCTTGTGACGCTGACGAGGATCTTTAATAATTACGACTTGAGCATGCCAGGGTGGTAAGCTTAATTCGATGATGCCTTCTGAGAGCAGCCGGGAGGTTTCTTTCTGGATGCAATCTTGATCATCTTTGCTAAAGTCTTGATTTAGTTGCTATTGGCTTACATTTCGCAGAGAGATTAGCAAAGAGTGAAGGTTCATCAACAGCAGGTGTTGAGAGCGCGCAAAATGAGTTTTGATTGCTGATAGTAAGGTCTGGTTCCGATCCTCCAAATTGAATAGTTAGACTCTTATGTTGCTTTTGAAAATATTGTCCCAGAATTATATCACTACATAAGTCTTTGAGAATCCCGAGACGTGTAAAAGGATAAGCATGCCCATTGAGGGTTATATCTACGAGAGAAAAGCCGGGAGAACTGGTATTCAGCGTCGTCAATACCATTGAGAATTCCTTGTTGGTTGGATAGACTTTCATACTTAGCTTTCTTGCAGCTTGTTCACCAATAAAGCTGTCAGAACTACACGATTCAATCAAGGCATTCAAGTTTTGTCCTTTGATGGAAACCACTTGCTACGTGTGACAGTCTTTGGGGAAATGCAGCTGTGATGACTAGAAAAGAAAGTTTGAACATGGTTGCTGTGGTACCAGTGGTTGTTTTAAATTAACACACTTTTGCGAAATGCCCCTTCTTACCGTAGTTGTTACATGATGCATCTCGTGCAGGAAAAAGTTTTCGGTTATAGAATACATCACGGCAAAAATAGCAGCTGCAGCTACTGTAGTTTTTTCTGGAGCTCCTACATCAGTCTGTTGAGTTGGCTCAGCGGCTGTCATGGCAGCAGTGTGTGCAATTGGGGAAGAATAAGCATCAGAATTCTTTTGAGCCAAGTCCAGAGTATATGCCTGATTATATGCACTTTGTGAATCAAGCGTCTTGTTTTCCAGTAGCTGTTGCCGTATAAAATGAGAAGTAATACCGTGGATGAAGGAATCACTGATCAACTATTCACGATATTGTTCTGCAGTGACAGCTTTCAGATTGCACTCCATATTGAGTTTTCGAAGTTTTTGAAGGAATTCATCAAGAGATTCTCCAGGTTGTTGTCGTCTGGTTACTAGTAGGTGGCGAGCGAATATTTCATTTGGAGCTTTCACATAAAGATTCTGAAGTGTTTCAATGGCAGTGTCACAGTTTGTACATTTCTCGATATAGTCAAACACGTTATGAGAAACACTGTTAAAAAGAGTTCCGAATTTATCAGATGCATTTTCACCACACTCGGCGATGGAATTGGTGAATGTACGAAACCAGTGTTTCTACTCCTTAGCAGTGTGGGAGAGTTGGGATTCAGATCCAGGCGTGCAGGTCTAAGTAGCTTCTCCATGATGGTTGATCACTACAACGAACAGGAGTTAATTAAATTGATGTTGGATGAAGTCAAACTTGTTTCCCCATTAAACAAGCTTTAATCAACTCCTTTCACAGGATATCTGAAAGTAACATAAGAAACCAATAAAATACAAAAATAACATTAAACAGAACATCAGATGAATGTTCCTAACAGTGAAAACTATATCAGTCTTCACCTCCACTTAAAGCGGATAAACTATCTCAGCTTTCTGCTGAAGCACCTAAACCTCCAATTCCACCCCTCACCCATCGGACATGGATGGCATTTGCTAGATGGCCTGTGCCCGCCCAAAATGAAGCAGCATCGACCCCAAATGAGATGAAACAGTCAGTGTAAGTCAGTTCGGAGACTCATTCCCGTGATTCAGTTTCACCACGAGGAGCGAACTTTTGTCCCAGACTGTACCTTACCAGACCACGCAAGGCAAGAGCGGTACCGCTCTACCACCAGCGCCCCCTCATGTCTTGTAATTCATCGAATTTTGTTTTATTAAAGTATTTATTCATTTTGTCCTCTTCCAAACCGTTTGAAAGTGTCCAAGTATACTTGAAACGTTAGTTAATATTGCTTAATAGATTTTATTTTAATATTAAATTCATCAGTTAATAAATTCCTGTATAAATTCTGGTGTTTCTCGACAAATACCCTTTTTTCATGCTCTTGTTTGTAGTGTCGTTTTTTGCCGTTACTCTTTTTTTTTAATTTCAGTTTGCTTCTCTTAACTTGGCCACCTACTACGTGTCGTCCTTTCTCCCCGAAACCAGGTAGTTACTCTGGCGCGGTAGTAATCTGCTAAACCGATTACTTCGGCTTCATACCTCAACAACAGAGAATTTCCATCGCCATCACCAATATTATGAGCGCTAATCACATTCATACACTCCATTAAGTTATTTTACAGCCGATTGACCTTACGTGATGTAGCTTTTAAATATAGGAGGGGGCTGGGTAGTCAAGGATTTCTGCTGATACGGAGAAAACCTTCACACACGACAACAGACACTCAATTAAAACGAAAATAGCTAATTAAAATATTATTATTCGTTGAGAACTTCTCCGGAGTGCAACGTACTCGTATATCCAGAGAGGCTAGCAATTTGACAGTTGCACGAGGACGCTTCTCCCTCCTGACAGTGACAGCTGCGATGAAGATTATCAGTGCTGTTATCATTGCCTGCACGACCAATATATCAGTCATTCCCGTACGTACATCTGCTTGTGTGCTTTTCCGTGTCCTACAAGAAGAAATGTAATAAATAAGAAGTCCATTATGTCATTAAATTACTGTTTTACTTACCTGTTAAATATATCTCTTCGCTCTCCCCTCCCCCAATATTCGCCGTATTATTTAGGGGGCGCCGCGGCTGAGTAGATACGATTTTCGTTTCCTATCCTAAAATTCACTTGTTCGTGCCCATGACATCTCCAATTCACCCAGAAGTGAGAGCATACCTATATTTGCAGTTGTGGGAAGTAATGGCAGTCAGTTGTAATGTCGGCCACATTGCCACAGAAGACCATCACACACCACCCAGGAGATCAGATTAGACCGTCACACACACACACACCACCCCGGGAGGTCAGAATAGACCATCACATCCACCCTCGGAGATCAAAGAAGACTATCACATCTACACTGGGAGATCAGAATAGAATATTACTCCCGCCCTAGGAGATCAGAGAGAACCATCAAACCCACCCTAAAACATCAGAATGGACTATCACATCCACCATAGGAGATCAGGGAATTCCATCACAGCCAGCATAGAAGATCAGGTTGGACCATCCCACACCATATAGGAGATCAGAATAGATCATCACACCCGTCCTAGGAGATCAGAGTGTACCATCTTACACACAGTAGACCAGATTGGACCATCACACGCACATCCTAGGAGATCACAGAAGACAAATCACACCCACCCAAGGAGATCACAGAAGACCATCACATCTACATTGGGAGATCAGAATGGACCATCACACCCACAATAGGAGATCTGAATAAACCATCACACCCACCCTAGGAGATCAAAATGGCCCATCGCACCCGCACTGGGAGATCAGAATGGACCTTCACACACACGCACACACACACGCACGCAAAAATATCAGGCAAGCTCATCAAACGTACCCTAGATAAGAATAGACCATCTCACCGAAACTTGGAGATCACTGTGGATTATCAACACTAACGCTCTGAATATTCATAGGAGATACCCCGTACTTGTTTACATTGCAAGAGTGACACATCGTGTATACTGCCTTCCAAGGCTCCATGTTGTTTGACGCACGCTTGAAAGGTATTATAGAAATTCGTACGAGAGAGAGAGTCGAAATACTGCGAGAGATATCGGATGGATGTTATATTGTCAACATGTTAGTGAGAGACGATATTCCTTCTTCCGATGAATAAAGTTTAGAAACATGTATGAGATTAATGCACCTCGATATTATTAGTATTATTATTATGTCAAATAGTAAGAAATGTGGTAACCTGGAGGTTGACCCTTTGTTGTACCATTTACACTCAAAGTGGTTGGTTGCCTTGGTCACATACGCACCAGCCTAATCCTTTGCAATGGTACACTGTGAGTGACGACTTCTGGAACCATATTGACTTCCTGGGGTCATTCTCTGTGTGGCGTTCTTACAAGCCACTCCACGGAACCCAATGTGCATGAACGATATTTCAGGCCAACAGTCGTCCATATTTTGTTTATATAACCAAAATATTTTTCTTAATAGGCGATTCAAAGTAGTTTTAAAATTATAGTTTAGTATACTGGTCTTGATATGATCACTGGGGTGTTAGTTTGGTCGTTTGGGAGTGGCAGCCGGCGTTGCTATGAGTCGCGTGAGGTTATCGGACAAGTAAGTACAGTATATTCGTGTAAATTTACTGTAAGTTGT